GCTGCTTCATGCAGACTGAGCAATTCTGATTATAGTATCAGATTTGTTCTGTATACAAAGGAACTGGAAGGGCTTATTAGAAACTTCTCACCAATAAAGTAATGATCTTCTAGTAAATTTTGCATATCATTTTATTAAAATTTTATTTTATTTTAGCATATTATTTTTGTTACAGCCAATTGGCATTAGTATACGATACAAAAGATTTAATATTACTTGCTCGTTTTTGCGTAAAATAATGAATATTTATTTTACTTGTAATTACCTATGAAAGTTTTTTTCAAGTTTTTTTTTGTGATCTGAAAATTTACCCAGTTTGGTTAGAAGTTTCGAAGCTAACGCATGTCCACAGGCCTAATAGAAAGATAGGCAGAAAAAGTGTATCATGAAGAATGGTTGCATGCAGGGTTGCTTCCACTCACTTGCTATAGATGAGTGATTTTCGGAGTTTTGAATTCGTTAGATGTTGTAATGGAGATTTGTGCTGTTGGATGCGGGAGAAGATTGGAGGGCGGGTGTTTGACGCATAGAGCCTGTCAATTTCGCTTTCAGAGTGTCGCAGTCAGCGGTTTTATGATTCGTGAGCGCTTACGATTCGTAGAATCGTTGATTGTGACTGCAAGTGGATTTTACGGGTTTTGTGTGTCGGACGCTTGCTTTTTGGCCTCTTCTTGTGTCTAACATGTGCAGAGTATCATTATAACGTCTAATGGTTTTTAGATTCCTGGTGGCGTGAAATATATTTGTGAGAATATCTTTTTGAGATTTTAGCAGTCACGTTTTGTTTGTAGTTTATATTTTATTTATTTCATTTAATTATCGTAAATATTAGTTATTCAATAATAGATAGTTCATGCATATATTGGTACTTTGACGCGAAGCGCTGTGGATTATAAGATGCTCGATGACCCTCGAGGGATCGATTTTGCTTACTGAGCAGAAAATCATGGATTTAACCCCAAGCTCTTCCACAGCACAATAAATCGTCCACCATTTGTATATTTGATATTGAACATTAACCTCGGAAACTATTTGCATATCAAGCGAAAACGTAGTCCAGTATTGTCGCGAAGCGTTATGGTTCTGAGATGCTCGATGACCCTGGAGGGATCGTTTTTGCTTACTGAGCAGAAAATCATGGGTTTAATCCCAAGCTCTCCGTCATGACTCTTAAAATTCATTATCACTAAACAAAATTAATATGTTCTTTCGATAGCCGGCTATCGAGAGATTAAATAAACAACAAATAAACAATACATACTTTTGGTTGCATCGCCAACTTGAGGTGAATCCTAACCGAATACCCTACCCAACCCTCCAACTCCGTAGCACTTATGAGGGTGTCGCTAAGTCGGTGGCCTCTCGTTAAGTAAGTACTACATCAACATTTCCTTCCCTATCCCTAGTTATGGTAAAGATGGGCGTGGCCGGGAATAGCGACAGTCATGCTTCTGTTACTCTTGTATAGATTGGAACCAATGTTTGCTCCCCAGCATTATTCCTGAAAGTAGTCTAACTGAGAATTTCAGAAGAGACGTGAGTGTCGCTAGTATCCAATCTACGAAGTATATCATAACAACGCTAACGCTAACGCTAACGCTAACGCTAACAATGAGTGGTAGACAATGAGTGGTAGACAATTATCATACATCATACATAACCGAAACATTGAAATACTTGAAAAATTTAAGATAAAGTATAATAGTCAAAAATGCATGACATGCACCATTTTTGCGTAGTTCCTTTTATGCGGTCGTGTCTAGGACAAAACCCTTTTTTTTTTATTTCAAATTTCTCGGCAAAGTTGTCTCGAGATAACTTTTTGAACTTAGAATGACGAAATATTTGCCGTGCAGAACTTGTCGATACGTTTAGCCATTCAAGAGTTATTGATATATTTCTAATATAAATATGCTCTTCACAGTTAATTTTTTTTTGTAATTTTACACGAATTTACATGCACATAAAACGAGCATGCGTATTCATGTAAAATTAAATTGGTTTTAAAATTTACACGACTTGAAATTTACATGCATTAAACGTCACTTGAATTTTACATGATGGGCTCACTTTGTAATTCTACAGGACATTTAGAATTACATGCATTTGGCTTTTTGAACGAATTTGCATAAAATCGAACAGATTGTCAAGTACGCGGAATTATCACCCACGTGGAATAACCAGCCTTTACGGCACAGTACATACCCTACACTTCCACCGTTGCATCAAAACGATCAGTCAGGAGAAAAAAGGAACCACGAGCGCATTTTTGAATGTTATTCTATTTTTCATATCCAAATGGGGGGTGACCCCGGCGTAGTGGTTAACATCCATACCTCTCACGCCAACGTCACGAGTTCAAATCTCACCCCCGGACAAGTCACGAATGACACAAGAGTGTTAAAGTGACTATAATAGAAAAAAAAAAAAATAAAAAAAAAAAACATATCCAAATGTTTGATTTTCTGTACGAACTAAAAGTGCTCTCTGTATAAAACCGCTGTAATCACTATTTTATCTGTCATCCATTTTCTATTTGTGGACGCGCGTATGCACGATAAATCGTTCCACATAACCAAAACTGAGCGCACAAAACAAAACAAACCGAGCGGAGAAAAAACTGATGGAATAATCGGCTCGTCCGCCATTTTAGCTTTCTCAATGTTTGTTGATTTAAATTTACCCGAGCATGTAAATTTATAGGTTTTATCGTTGAAAATCCGATGTTCTTCGATAAGTTTTTACATCACGTGGTGATATTACACTGCAAGAGAAACTTAATCGAATAAACATGTAATTGTATGAGTTTCATAATGTTTTTACTATGTGCATGATTTTTAATGTAAAATTAAACTAAAACATAGTTTAAAGCGATGTAATTTTAAAATGGTTTTGGTTTACACGTCATGTAATATTCATTATTTTTTGCTGTGTTTGTAAATTTTGATATCTCGGGTAGGGTGGATAACTTTTTATCAATTTATACGCATTCTTGTTTGACCAAATTTTGATCGTAACACCCTTTATTATAAGTAATGTGTCGCAAATCGAGTCAAATGGACGTTCATTGAGACAAGCAGCTCGATTTACCTCGAAGAAGGTTGACAGCTATTGGTTGACAAAAAATCCCGAGTAAGTGCGAACAACTCCAATAGGATAATTAACTTGCTCCCCGCTAGAAACGTAGATTAACCTATAAGAAACAATAGTTTCATGTTTCAAAGCTCTCTTAAAAATGTTTAGATATTGCACACTAAAATTTTAAAAAAGTTATTTTTTTCAGAACGATTTCCAATGATGTGTTCAAAGGAGTTGAACAATAACCGAAATAAATTAAACCAATGCGATAGAATTTAACTTTGAGGACCCACAAAAAAAGTATGGTATTGATTTGTATCGATAAAATTGATTTCATTTCTATTTTTAGAAGAAGTATGCTTAGAAAATCATCATAAAGGAGAGTAATTCAATCATTGAATTGAAGAGCTTTTTGAGTGTGTTGATTTATTTCCTTTTAATTTCGTCTGCAAATAGTTGACGAAGTACGCGTATCTGTCAAAAGATAGGCAATTATAACGGAATTAAAAGGAAATAAATCAACACACTCAAAAAGTTCTTCATAAAGGGATTCCGTTAAGAAGTTCGACAAAATTAAGAGATGGATCATTGAATTGCTAAATTGTAATAATTTTAACTGCAAGAAACTATTTGCCAAATAGCTATTAAGCACTACTACACACTTAGAAATACCTAATTTTACATGTGATAGAATCCATCTTTGACATAAAGGAAGAGACGTAAACAAACATGTCATGTAAAATTAAGTGCTCCGAAACTGACAAGTTCGTTACTCGACGAAAAGTACGATTGATTGAGCTGAATTTCGCGTCTATTATGACTCAATTTTATGTCAGAATTGACGCTCGTATATGTCAGTCTCAGAGCACCTAAATTTACATGATTTTTTCTAAGTGTGTATATTTGTGTGACGTTCGTCTACAAGACATCTGCAAAGCGATTAGCTTGTAATTCTATCATTACTTATTAAAAAAGTGATCAAAGTGTTTTTATTATCTCTGATCACGCCTTCCTTCTGGGAAAGTAAAACCGTTGGTCCCCGGTCCATAAGTGGATGGGTCGATAGGACAGGTCCAGGTGTGGAAGCTGCCTCGCTGGTGTCGGTAGCATTGGTACTCAGCACGTAAAACAAATCAAGGAAAAAAAGTGTTTTTATTATTCTGTTTTTCGTGTTTAGATGACTCATTTATCCCAGAACCATAATTTACCCGGATACTGACAAATAAAACCGGAAAGAGCTACAGTCAATAAATTTAATAATGTTTGAAATCCGCTTTGAAATGTAAATTTCAAAAGCTACTTGGAGACCTGTTCTATTCATTTAGAACCAATTTCCCCAGAAACGAAAGTAGCTAGTAAATCTTTTCCACCGAGAAGCCAACCTCTGATTGATCGTTACTTCCCTACCAGCGATTGATTTATAGCGAGGAAGGAAGCCAACCTGCCCCTTCTCATGATTACTGCTGCGTCAGCTTCAACTTCACACGAACGATTCCATTCACATTCCCAAAGGAATCGAATTCGTGCGTCAATCTTCGTTTGCGCCGAGGAACAAACGAAACAAATGGGAAATTAGAGCAAAGGGCGTAAAATTTATTGAATTATTTTAACGACCACCGCCGACCGACCGACCGACCGACCGACCGAGCGACTGACTGACTAGGAGGCGAAAACTTGATGTTTGTCGATGATGATCCATTCGATCCGGTGCCTATGGGGACGATGGAGGCGCATGGCACTTTAACGATGTCGTAAATTTGCATGCACCCACGCGTTTCTGCTTGGTGTTTGATTTGGGTTCAACCGCACAGAACATTTTGATTAATTGATGCGGAAGTTCAACAGTTCGCTTCAACAGAATAGCATTAATTTCAACCGTAATTGCTAATAAGTGTCACTTTTAATTGACTTTCTATTTTCAGATTTGTACATATGTTTTCAATAACGATACCTTCTACCAATTACTCATATTCTCACCGGTGCTTCAGCATGAGGTAAGTTTGACCCCAATTCTTAACGACAGTAAATAATGAATCCAAAAAGTCAATCCCTAATACAACCTTCGTTCTATTTCAATTTTCCACAGATATGGCGTTTCGTGACATATACCTTTCTTCATGCCAATGCCGTTCATTTGATGCTCAACGTTATCATTCAGGTACGATCATTAGGAATTTAGGAACCTTGTACGACATATAATTTATCCATTTAAATCACGCATGCACGCATCCAGCTAATAATGCCCTTTTAATCGATACTTCCGGTATATCTATTTTCCATTTCTGTAATCCATTCAACAGATAATAGTGGCCTTTCCCCTTGAGACTGAACAGGGGCACGGTGCGGTGCTGGTGGTTTACTTTGCTGGTGTGATTGCCGGTGGAATGGGAGCGTCCGTGTTCGAACCGACGCAGATGGTGGGGGCCTCGGCTGGAGTATACTGCCTGTTGATAAGCCATGTTCCGCACATAGTTATGGTAGATATTATTGATAGAAAAAATATCGTTCATAAATTGATACCCTTTCCTGTTTTCCAGAACTTCCAATCTCTATCGCATCGCTACTTTCGGATAATGGCCGTGCTGGTGCTATGCGTTAGCGATGTTATCTACTCCATCCGACACTGTATGACTAAGGGCAACCTGCAGCCACGGATCGGCGTCCCAGCCCACGTCAGCGGTGCCATCTGTGGCCTCCTGATTGGGTTCATCGTGTACCAGGGTGAGAAGCTGATGCATTTTCGGATAGCACGGTACGGAGCCATGGTTCTACTCTCCGGTTGGGTCGTCGCAACGATCATGTACAACATGCAGGTCAGGGCCTAGTTGTGTTCTTTTGCGATATTTATACTCTCTCTCCCGTACTAAACGTAGTTAAATATTAGATAAGACCAATTAGAATTCGTTTGGGTGATCAAAGGCCAAAAATGCTTATTGCGAAGTAGAATGAAATGCAATCAGAAATGTACCTAAGAAGCAGCTTAAATGAAAGGGAAAGTCATTTTATATACGATTAAAATTATTTCAAAGCTTTATTTAACTGGTTTCGTGTTCGTTTCACTTATGCAGTACCTATAAGTTACACTTAAGCGGGCTAAGAATCTTAAAAAGAAAGTATCCCTATTCGGAAGCAAACTTGCAGTTTAGTTTACGTGTAGCACTTAGAGAGGCTTGTCCTCCATTCCAGAGTCGCTGCTGGATGAGAACAGCTACCGAAGCTCCGTGGTTTATGCGTGCGTTTTTGAGGCGCTGTCGTAATAATTAATTATTGATTCATTCCGTAATTTTGTTGGTGCATACTTTATTAATTTAAAAATGGCTTTTTCGACAACGTCAACGATCTCAACCTTTTTTCGACCGAGTATGAGCAATTCAAAACCGGTCCTCAGTTTTCAACTCATCGAAACAATTTTAAAATCTGATTTTAATCTTCGCCAACTACCTATTACCGCGATTCATAACGAATCATATTCTCATAACTTATCGGCTACTTACGCAAGCTAGCTCGTAGTTTCAACATAAATTAAGTACGGTTACTGTGTCACATTCGCTCGGTAAACCATTTCGAACTCTTAACGACGATCTACATTCGTTAAGATTTACGCAGTTACTTAAAACACTACAATAATATCACGAAAATCACAGGGACTCATACTTGCTCACTCACAACTCATTCATCCAAGCTCGCTCAACAATCATCCTCTCAACAGTTCAGTGGCGTACAATGCACTCCCACTTCGGTACATTTACACTCCAGACACGGTCCGGACAGCTCGGAGATTATCCTTCCAACCCTGTACATCCGGCCGTAGATATTACAACCGGCCAGCTTCAAGATGCCAACGGTATCCTTCAAGCTGTACACCTTGGACTTCATCGTAATCTCCGCCGTACCTTCGGAGTGATGCTGCTTCAGTTTGTTGATGTCCACCGGGTTGACCACGTAGGTCTCCGAATTCGGAATCGTATTCGGCGGTCCATCCGATATCACCTGATAGTGTTCTGCGTCCGGATCAAACCCAAATCGGTCGATGTCATTCTTAAGCTCAACCTCCTGTGCACCGCTTCCACTGGTGGAGTGGAAAATGGGATTCAGGAACGGTAGATCCATCAGAGAAGGTCTGTACAGGTCTTTGGAACCGTTTTGTTCACTTTCCACCTTGAGAGTTACCGTACCGTCATGCTGCTCCTCATCTTCCGCATGATGCTGAACATCTCCTAGCGATGCTTCTATGCTCGTTGGCGAACTATAAACACTTCCCATGTGAGATTTGATGGTTTTGAACGGTGGAACTCCATTCATAAGGCCAGGCGTTGTAGGGGTAGCATTCTGCACCCCGTTGACATGCTGTTGCTCTTCTTCACGGAACAAATAATTCAGTACATTCTCCAGACTGAACATACCGTTCGGTTCTGGTTCGGTGGAGTTTCGCACCGTTTGGGTGGTTTCCATTTCCATCGGGAGCCCTGTGTAGTCCACATCACTACGCAACGGCAGAGCCGATGCACCCTCGTTACTGGAAGCTTCGTTGATTTTCTCTAACGAGTTTCCAATCGTCGACAGGTAGTTGGCATCCGTTGTGATCGAAATGATCTGCTTATCGTATTCCGAGCTATCTACGGTATCGTTATCCAATAGATCATCCAACGTAGAATGATTGTTCTTGGCAACCGAATGGTACACGGAGAACAGTTTCTCTTTGTCCTCGATGAGACTCATCAACGGCGGCGCCGGTTCCGGACGTATAACATCAATAAAGGGATTTGCTGGCGTAGCTAGGATAAATAAAACGTAGAAATTGGTAATCAACAGACGACAGCTGTATCAAAACTCCGGTCTTACCTCCAAAGGTAGCAGCTGTAGTATTGTACGGTGACTTGGTGGTGTCTGTCGGCAGCTCAATCGGGAAGGCAGTCGTGACGTACGGTTCGTAGTAGAAGTCCTCCTTGATGTGATCCTTTGGCAAGAATCCACCTGAAATTTTAAAAATCCTTCTGCAGATCAATAATCCAATTATCATTGAAAATCAACTACCTTCGGTTTTCGTAGGTGGCGAGAATCCACTGCTGCCAGCCGATTGTTCTTCCAATCGGAACAATGGATGCTCCGTATTAATCTCCATCTTCGTGTTGTACACAACTGGTTCGTACGTTTCCTTGTGATTCGAATAGTACACGTTCTTCTCCGGATATCCAACTCCGTACTTGTCATACACGGGAATGTACGTTCCCTCCTGTGGCACCTCGTACTTGGTCGGGATGAACTTTTTCAGTTCGTTTTTAAACAGTTCTTTTTTGGCATGAATATCATACTTGGCCAAAGCATCCGTATCGTACTCGTAGTCTGTGTCAGCAATCGTATCGTACTTATCGCGAATGATCTTCGTGTTATAATGATTGCTCTTGGCATCCAAGTCGTAGTTCTCCGTAAGTGCCGAATATCCCAACGACTGATCATAGCTGTAATCGTACTTTGGAGGTTTGAACGGCATTCCGGGATGAATTTCATGATCGGAAAGAACACCATACGGCTCGTAGCTTTCAGTGATGATCGGATAATTGGTTGGGTTGGGTTTGTAGAAGTCGTACGGAGCGGCCAGGGGGATCTGAGCCTCATTCTTTTTGACAGCATCTGCTGGGAGGAACGGAATGATTTTCAAGTTTGGAAGACTAGGCGGAAGCGTGGGTTCGCTGTAGTCTAGATCGATGTCAGACTCGAGAATCGACGGTATACTGCTGGGTCGATGAAACTCTCCGATTGGGATCGGTTTCGGCGTTACTGGTCGATGTTCGGTACGATTTTTGACATTCTGTTTACCGGAATCGTTCCTCGTTGAGTCAAACATGTTTGAAAGTTCCGTCAGTAGAACTGATAGCAGGTTATTTTCTTTGGTTACTAGCGGCTTGGTTGTGTTCTTGAGGGTAACTGTCTTGATCTTCTGGGTGGTAGTAGTCACTGGAAGCTCCGTCGTTGTTTGGACCATATCTTGCTCCGTAACTGGAAGCTCAGTTTCACTCTCGCTCTTGAATTCCATTATATCGTCGTCCACGACTGTAGTCGTCGCTACGGTTGATGTCACATCATAAGAACCAACTGTGGTTGTTTCCGCCGTCTCTTGTTCTTCAATTTGTTCTGCCGTCGTTGTCTCAACTGATGACTCGGTTGTCATCATATCTTCAACCAACATTTCATCATTCTTGTAATCCACCGTTGATTCCTCACTGGAATCATTCTCTCTGTCGGATGCTTCCGTGGTTATCGCTTCCTCGGTACTCCTATCAGTCGTGACCTCACTACTCTCTGTAGACATTTCTTCGGTGGATGATGGTACCGTCGAGGATGTCGTCATTGTGGTAACCACTGTCGTAGGAATCTTATCGAGCTCGAAACCGACAAACTTGTTATTGGGTCGTTTCATTGCAATCATCGTCGTTGCAGGCAGTGGCTCAACCTTTTCTATTTTGGCATTTAGCGAGCTTAGGATCGATTCCACGGCCGAACTGCTAATGGAATCATCCACCTTGATAACAACGTCAATGGGTGTAGCCGTCGTTCCACTCTCCGTCATCATCGGATCTTCTGACGACGACCGCTCGGCACTGTCGGTAGTCGAGGCAAGGGTTTCAGTTTCCGCGCTCTTGACCGTTGATGTTTCATCGCTTGTCCGGAATTCGTCTGAATCGGAATACTCTTCCGATGATTCTAGATCAGCGAGCGAATTCGACACGTCAGTTATATTTTCCTTCAGTAGGGAGTCTGATTCTAGATCCTGGAACTCAGGTTCCGCTTTGGTCAGCTCGATCGCAACCGGGATCTTTTGCTTTTCTTTTTGTCGAACTGCAGCCGTCGTTGGCTCCGAAGAGGCAACTGAACTTGTAACTGGAGATGTAGTTGTGGCTGGAGTTGTAGTTGTGGCTGGGGTTGTAGTTGTGGCTGGGTTTGTAGTTGTGGCTGGGGTTGTAGTTGGGGCGACGGTTGTAGTTGTGGTAGTGGTAGGAGCCGGCGTGGTTGTTGTCGTCGTAATCGTCGTTGTTGTTGATGGTGGACTTGTCGTCGTTGTAGTAGTGGTTGTTGATCTGGTCGTCGTAGTAGATGCCGTCGCACTTGCAATAGGTTTACGGGTAGTGCTGATCCTCTTGATTGGAGATAAAGTAGTCCTTACCGGGAAATTAAAGTCCGGCTTCTCGATGTAGACCGTTTGTGGCTCACGAACGATTTCCACTCGCACCGTCTGGACTTCAACCGTACCCTCTGTAGTAGGGATAATCTCCGTCGGCGCAGAATTCACCGTCGTTTCCAGCAAATCGTCCGAATTGCTATCAATAAACTCCAAACCAGCCTTCAAGAAGTCAAAGAAGCTCTTCTCCGATGTCGAACTCACGGGAGTTGCCTCCGTAACTACCGGCTCGGTAGCATTCTTCACCTCCGGTTTCGGTTCATCCGGGTCCGGGCCGAAGAGGATAGAAAAGAAGTCAAACGGCTCCTCTTCTTCCTCAATCTTCCGAGAACTCAGTCGCTTCTGGTCACCGTGTTCTGAAACGAGCGTTGAGTTATCAACCGAACTACGGAACACTCGAGATCCTGTTGAGAACTTACTACAGTCGTACCGCACCGCGCAACATTCTCCTCGGGGTACTCGGGGCGTACATCCTTTAATAGTTGGAGCACACTTCTTGGGGGTACATTTCTGCGCTCCGCGGATGCAGAAGCACACTTGACACGGATCTTGGTTACTAATACGTTCTCCTTCTGGATACATTTTCCCGTCAATCGCACATCCAATGGTCTTGACTCCCTTTCGTTCAACTGTCCGCAGGTAATGGCGGTTGTTGATTCTGCGAACGAGATTCGGTGATTCGGTAGATGTTACTTCCTTGATTGGTGTTTTCCCAGTACAGTCGTATCGGATAGGGCAGCAAGCCGAATCGATAAATATGGGCGCACAGCGTGGATTGGGCAGGGCACATTTAGGCTTTACACACTTTTGACTACCATTGATACAGTAGCAGTATGAGCATAGCGAAGATGAAGTCATAGCGGAGCCTGACTTGTACACGGTGCCGTTGATAATGCATGCTGAAATATATCCAAAAAAAAATTAAGTATTTATCAAAAGAAATGTACATCCTACTCATCAACCGTTACTCTACCTCCATTTTCTTCAACATCATCATCGTCAGATCTCCGTAGGTAGGAATTGGGGTTCGATAGTCGTTCTTGAGCTTCCTTCTCATAGTAATCTAGGAAATGAATTTTCTTTCGATCGCCACTGTTCTTCGTGGCCAAATGAAGCTTGGAACACTGCAGGTAAGGACAGCAGGAGCCACTCTTGTGCACGAGGATGCAACCACGTGGTGGTGGGATGGGTTGTTCTAAAAGATAATTTGGACATGAACATGAACAATCCAATTTTCACAGAGCTCTCGAAACCGATCTAAAACACGGTCTCCGTGTGCAAGCGCCTACCGATATGCAACCGAACAATCAACGAAGTACGACTTACCCGGACAAACTTTCAGCGCGCAGATCAACGTTTTGCTTTGGCACTTGCACATCAGACAAGGTTCCTTCGTGGGAACAATCGATCCCTCCATAAAGTGGGTCCCATTGTAGTAGCAACTGTTCGTCTCTGAAATCAAAATAAAACAAAGCGTCAATATTAAAATTCCAATCAATCAATCGTAAATCAAAAATTCCATTCATTGGCAGGCACATCAATCAGCTTGATACACCTCGAGACATCGACACAGCACCATATTCAAGCCGGAAGGAACGATGAAACGTTCCGACTCCGGTTTGGTTTTGTGTACATATAATGTGACATGAAGGGAGAATCATATTTACAGCAATCACAACGATCACGATCGCTGGCTTGCTGGTGCGTCATAAATATCGGTCCGCTATTATTGGCTGTCATTTCTGACCCACTGACACAGATCAGGGCTGTCCAGCGCATCTTGATGGTTGATGATTGCAGCATAAAACCAAGAGTTCACAACCTTTTTTCCACGAGAAAAATGCCACTCAACCAATATCCGACCTCACCGCATCACAGTCAATAGCCCTAGTGCTGAAGTTCCCATCAAAAGTGAAGCCAAATTGCGGTAAATGATCCTCTCTCTCCTATAACACAAAACGCGATCCATAATAGAGGAAGTAATGATAAACAGCCACCATAAGTACGGCACCTCCACACATGACCCGCGACGATGGCGATGGAGGGAAAGAAAGAGCGCTCAAAGAATAAGTGCGCTCAGCCCCATCAGTCTCTGTCCGCCTTGCCGCGGAATGGAAGACCCCTCCAGATTGGCTTTAGGTCACATGAGAAGAGCCTTCGCGTCTTCCCTTTGCGGGAAGTGACTGTAATCATTGCTTGCGTTTTTGTTGTTGTTGTTGTGGTTGCTGTTTGTTAATATGTTGGTACTTTTCATGTCCGCAACAAGAGCGAGAAATTTACGCAGTCATCAGCGTAACTTTGTTGCAATTTGTCTATGCGAGCGGTACATCAAGGTATGTGGAACAACGGGTTTCGTTTGATGCAGTGGTTTTCAACCGGGGGGGTAAATATGACATGTTAATTAAAGTTTCAGTAGGAAATGATGACCAAAATACCCTTCAGCGATTGGCGTTTACGGCGACTCTGTATAGCTCTTTACTCCTATGGTAAAATCCTTAAGGAAAAGTGTTCAGCTTTTCACATAACTCATCGTAAACGTATAAACTCATGAAAATGCGTAAACTTCATTACAATTTAATGGAGTCTACTATTTTAAGACAGTGTAAGTAACGTGTGTTAGTCTAATTCGTCTTGTATTTAACCATCTAATTTTATTGTTGGTGGGGGAACGGTGGTGAGCAATTATTGAACAGGGGGGCATGGAACAAAAATGGTTGAAGACCACTGGTTTGAGGCACGGTTGCCAACATGTGCGATATTGGTGAAATATGGCGATGAGTAAACGGTATTGATGTGACCATAAAGGGGACAGAAGATTTCACCCCACCCAAGAGAAATCGATATTTCTACATGAATATTTCAAAAAGTCCTATCTGCTTTGTTCGATTCTCTGCATGAGCTCTCTATGAATTAAATATTGTTCAAAAATTAATGGTGATGTTTTGGCAAATTCTTCTCAAATCTCATTCATTAAGCTCTCATGAGAGAATAATTTCGCGTACGAATCTGCAACTCACTCACTCACACTCATGTTGCCAAAAACTCATTTCAGTTTAAAACTCATAAAAGCCACCCAAACGGAAATCTAATTTCAGCAATGCAAAAATATAAACAGATGAATGTTTGATTCGAAAATCTCATCGGTGTTTATTGCGCTGTTGAAATTCGCAAGGCAGAACTCCGTCCGTGTTTATTTAACGTCGGTCTCTGTTCCGCAATCTAGTGCCAATCACCGACGGACATCGATTGCCATCCATTGACGGCAATCGAATGTGCAGGAAGGCAGCTTCCACACCTGCGTAGGATATCGCACCCATTCAACACACATGGGCCGGGACCAACGGCTTTACTTCCCTTCCGAAGGAAGACGTGACCAGAGATTTTTATGCCTCAGAAAAAATCCCACCGACCTCGGCTGGGATTGAACCCAGACCCATCGGGGTGTTAGAAAGCAGTCACGCTTACCACTACACCACCGGCGCCGGCTTAGGCAGAACTCATAGGCGAATAATCTCATGCATGATATTTGAGTTGCGAAATATGCGTATATGTCAAGGATAAGCAAATGAGGCAGTGGAATGAAATGTTAATTACGAATCCTTGTTTCTCTCTTTATACTCGTACAAGTATTCCACTAAGATCCTCACATTCATCAGGATATGATCTTTATGTTAAAGCCTCTTTTGCTCAAAAATAATTTCAAACCCCGATCAACCTTATTCAAATGATCAAATCTTGCAATTGTGATGGAGTTTCCATTTTGAAGTAGCTTTGAACAATTAAATTGAACTGCCTCTAAATTTTACCGAACAGTGCAGTTCGATAATTTTTAAGTGTGTGTGATCAATTTACACCCAATTTTTTTGTTTAGGTGATAAGTTTTTTTATTTTATATTTTTCGACTGGTACGTATGGAGATTTATATTCTATGGAATCTCAGTCTAGGGTTATCAGGGTGGCGACTACCTGGAAAAACCTGGAAAACCTGGAATTATCAGGGAACTCTAAATTCCCTGGAAAAAAAAGTAGAAGGGTTTGTGCCTAGGGGCACGAACGGAAGCTTGACGTAGGACCGCTAGTGGACGGGACAAATGTGTACATATAGTTCTTTTGATTGATCAATCATCAATTATCTTAACTCTTTCCGTTTTTTATTTGTAAGCGTATCAAATTTCAAGAACAACATGTGAAAAGGGCGTTTGGCGAGAAAAGGGCCTACAAAGGTTTGTTTACAAAAAGCTTGTATGCCCTTTTCACATGTGGCTCTTGATTTGTAGTATTTATTTCAAAAAGAAAGTTGATGAAGAGAATCCAAGGGACTATCAACTTGAGTATTTTCGATTCCCGACTTTAAAAGGTGTATTTTGAATTTGTTGTTACTTATGAATTTTTAAGTTTTGTGCCTTTTGGTATGGGTGACACGCTTGCCATAGATGACCGACCCGCAGCGACTCACGAAAAACTACTGATTCCGATCCATAGCATAGCGGTGCAGCTTCTTCCTCCTTTGATGGTTGCTTATGTGGGCTCAGCAGCTCGCTGCTTGCAGACAGCCTTTCGTTGTTACTGGAGAACAATTTTCAACGCCACACGCCGAAAGCACTGCTACTGCTGCTACTGCTGCTACTAATTTCGACGACCGAACACCTCCACACAGTGGTGTGGTCGTTGGGAGCGCGTGGTTCTGAGTATGGCGATGAGTGTGCAAAATATTACGCAATTCCATCCTCGCTATTCGCACGCGCCCGAGGATCGGAGGCGAATGCCACTTCGACTTGTTTCGTCTACTTACTACTCTCTGACGACTGTGCTGGGGAAGCAGCATATGCATGTAGGTAATTGGTGGATTTGTTAGTTAATTCAACGCTTTTGGACAATGCTGAACATTTACCAGTTTTTCAATAGTTTCTTGTTGAAAATCAACATTCGGAAGCATATTTATCAATGCGTTGCCATATTTCTGAACGATTGGTGATAAAATTATTGAAATTGGACCAGGGGAAGCTGAGTTATTAACGTTCAAAATCTTTCTTAATTTGTTACATGTTCCATTTTCGGTTTTCACAAAGTGTACCCCCATATAGAAATCAAAGACGTAGTCCTACGTCAAAATCAGGGAATTATCAGTTAATTCTCGAAACAATCAGGGATTTTTTTTGCATATGCATCGTTCCTTCCAAATTGAGTAAAAGTAACTTTGTTCTGAATATTTTTTATCGATTGTGAACCGAAAAAGTGCAATCTAAACAACTATGCGTTCATCCGTCATCCGGCAGCCTGCTGGTGTTAGAAGCAAAACTATTGTAAACATTGCTGAGCACTCAAATGGTGACGTCACTCTATCAACATTCCCTACTGTCAACAGTGAGATTGACGTCAATGCCAACAGCTGTTTCGTGTAAAAAGATAAACATTGCAATGAAATACGAACCCCACTAAACATTTGCACATTTCACTAACACAATCAAGCCGTTTCTGCGAGGCTATCAATGGTTCCATTTCTTTACGCAGATATGTATCGCACTTTACTGAACCTGGCGGAAGGATTCATGAAATTCTCCAAAAGCTTTCAGCCTTGACAGCAGAAGCAGTTAACGACAGCTAAAATCATCTGCTAGCGAAAAAAATCGTTCTTGGTTTTGATGTAAAGAAAGCACTAAGTGAAATTCGAAACATCAATAAGAAGGACATCCTACAATTCCGAGATGAATGCAGAACTTTTTTTAAGGCCATAGTGATCAAACTGCTTGTCAGATCCCCGTTGACGTATTCTCTTACTACACTTAACCAAAACATCCACCGATCGTTGAATGAAATCTCATTCAGCGTCAAGCAAAACTAATGATTCCTGAGATTGAATAAAAAACACGTCGAATGATTTTATGATCAACAATAAGTGGTTTTTGTTTACTTTTCAAACGTTTTTCTTCTTCTTGTCGTCCGATAATCAGTCACATATTAATAGGAACACAAAAAAAAAAAATTTCATTGTGAACCAAAATGAATATATTTCATCATAGCCCCTTTATGAAAATCATTCTATTTCAGGTTTGACATCATCTTTCGGCTATTTTCTATCAGTTAGCAAATTAAGAGCCACATGTGAAAAGGGCATACAAGCTTTTTGTAAACAAACCTTTGTAGGTCCTTTTCTCGCCAACCGAGGGTCGCCCACGCAAACCAACAACATCATCGGGAAGGGTAAAGATTCCCCTACCCGATTATGATGATGGTTTGCGTTCGTGTCATATGGGTGGCGAGAAAAGGGCATAAGAAGGTTTGTTTACAAAAAGCTTGTATGCCCTTTTCACATGTTGTTCTTGAAATGGCGGCGAAGACCGTGACTGCGCAAGTTTGTTTTCATTTGTGAAAAAAGTGAAATTTAGTGTTTGACTAAAAACAATAAAATGAATAGTAAATGGCTCAAGCTTGTTCGGAAAAAGTGATATTTT